TATATATATAAGTAAAACCGAAAATGAAAAATAAAAAGTAAAAAATAAAAAAGTTGGAATAAAACACTGAAAAAGAACTAAGCAGAGAGAGGGTTGAAAAAGAAAGTATTTCTTTCTTTTTGCTCATTTTTAATCTCATGTGAAAGGAACGAAAAAAGGGAATCGCCACGGCGGAAATAAATGAAACCCCACATTGTATATTTTATGTATTGGATTTCAGCAGTCCTTGAAATTTTTTACTTATTTGGCTTTCCCAATGTTATTGTATAATAATAGAATTATGGGAATAGCCAAAAGTTTTTCCAACTTTTCCCTTATTTTTGTCTACCCGGTCCCTGCTTACTTTTTCTTTGGTTGAAAGTAAGCGGAGGGTGGAGAGTGGACAGGAAAGATGATTAGGAATAAGGAAAGGGGGAGGGGGTAGACGAAGCAAAGAGGGAGAATGGAAAAGTCAAGGAGGCTGGAGAAGAAGAAGGGCGAAAAAGATGAGACGACGAAGTTTGTTAAGTGGCTAAGCAAAAAAGAAAAGTCAAGAAAAGCCAGTTTAAAACTGTGTTGCAAATTTAGAAGAGTAAAATTGATTGGCGATCATTGTACAGAAAATTTTACCATGTTTCTTCATTTTTTAAGTCATCACCGTAGCGTTTTACGCCCATTTTCTAGACAGCAAACAGGCAACTTGAATGCCGGAGCAAAGTACCGCCAACGTACATACAGTGACATTTGACGTAGCAAGGAAAAATTGACAACGATCACATTTGCTACAATGATTTAACTTTTAAATTTGCAATTCTCGGGTTTCCAAAAAGTCATTGAAAATCCTCGCCGAAGAGTGAAAATGGAGCAGTTGAAAAATGCAGTCAAACACTAAGATGGTCAAAATGTTTTCATTTTCACAATTTTATTTTCTATGATTACTTATCAGCGCTATTCATCTATAATTATAGATTTTATGTAATAGGATAGTGAATAGAAACAAAACGAAAGAGTAAGCAGAAATAGCAATAATCCGTAAACAAGTAGAACACAAATATCCTTCTCTTTTGTACTCAGATTTCTGAAGCAGATACTTTAGATACAAAGTTCAGCGGCAAAATAATTTCATTCACTCATTTTCCTTTCTGCTTCCAAAAATTCATGAATTTATTAAAGCAATTGATTCTTGTTGACGCATTTTGTTTTCGTCAGATTTGTTGTTTGCTTATTTATCTTTGATACTTTAGCAACAAAACACATTTGGAATATAAATTAACGTTATTTATTTACTGCCATACTGAACTACGCACAAAACATAGAAACGTTCACAGTTTATATTTTTTTTTTATTTTACTTTTTTATGCTTGTAATTTTGAAGTGGTTGAAATCTTGATGTTAGCGGTTAGACTAATTTGACACTATCGCGCTGTAAAGTACAAAGGTTGAAAACTGAGAATTGCTGTGTGTATATGTTTGCAAATGTTCGCCGATGGGGTTTCATTTAGGGGTAAGGGGGAGATAGTGCAGATAAAGATGGGATGAAGGCAAGGAAGGGTAAATTAAGGAAGTATTGTTACCCACTGAGGAAGAAAAGCCAACTTCGTCAGCTTTTGCCGGTGCTGCAATAATCCCACTAAAAGATGTTTTACAAGTAAAGCATATGTGTGAAACGTCATTTCATTAGGCGAAAAGCATCAAAAAAAAGGTGGGTGAAGAAGAAATAACCAAAAACTGCAAAAGAAGTAAGAGAAAGGTGAAAAAAAGATGCACAAAACTTTTTTCTATTAAAATTCATTTTTTAATGGAAAATTATTTTAAGAAATTTTTCTTCTCCATCATTCACATTCGTTGTTTTTTATATATTATTTTTTTGAAGCGCGGAACGTCTTAATGTTTAAGGGAACGGCACAGCTGTGAAGCTTTATGCCTTTACATCTGCTTGGTTCTCCTCACTTGCTGAAGACCGCCAAGGCTTCACGCCTTTTTTTTTTCTTGCTTTTTATTTCTTGCATTTCGCCAGTCGCTAATTGTCTTTCTCTTTTCCACCCTTTTTTCTGTCGCCCTTCTTTTCGCCGTCTTCTTTTTCTCCTTCTTCTCCAACATCTTGGGAAGCAACTTATGCCTTTGTAAGTTTTTTAATGTGACTTCATTTCGTTCACACAGACGAAGAGCTATTAGCGCTTTAAACCAGTGAACAACGATACTTAACCTTGCAAACAAACAAAGAGATAGGCAACAGAACAATTTGAGCAGGTAAATTAGGGATGTTTTAATTGAATTTTGGGGCGATAAACGTTGCTAACGCCACTTTAACTAATGCTCTTTCGGCGACGTATTATTCGATGAACAGTAGATCGGCTAGGCTTATAAGCTTCGAGCTCCTTGACAACCCTGCAATCTGTTTTCATTTGTCTGCTTTTTTTTAAAACCAATTTGCTGGCAGTTAACAAAAAAGAAAACGATTTCAAACTTTCACTTTCAAACATTATCTCACTTTTACTTAAAGCCTAAAGAAATCGATACCGTGACCAAAACTATAATTATTATAATTATTATTATCATTATTATTCCTAACATTAAAAAAAATTCACTGTTGGTTCTCCAGGTTGTTGCCAACGAAGTAGTGAAAGTACGAATGAAGAAGGGCAACAGCTCGAACAGTGATCGACAAAAAAGAAAGTCACAAACAATAATTGATATAATTTTTTTTAAATGTAATTCAAACAAAAAAAATTTACTGCATAAAAGGTAAAATTTGCTGCATTTTTCATCGATCAATGAATTTTGGGTTTAATCTTTTCTCGCTGACATCGTTGTTGCCGTATGCTTAACATATGTCAAGATTTATCACCAATCGAAGGCATCTATCCGCCAACATTTCTGAATGTCTGTCACTGGTCATCACCAAAAATTGACTGCTTAACAGTTCTGTACAAAATTTTTTTTGCTTAAATAATTTCAATGTTTACCAGCAAACTAAGCAGCTTTAGCAACCTACAGATATTTTCATTCAGAGTACAAAAGGTTTTTTATAGAGCTGATATCATTAGCTCTGCTGCAAAAGTAGTTCAACAAAAAAAATAAAAACCTTTTTTAAAAGTCAATAAAAGTAATGTTTTATTGTGCAGTAAGAAAGAAAAACAAAAATACAACAACAGTGAACTTTAGCAGTATATTTTTATTTGCTTACTTTAAATCAGTTGATATGTATCAGTGTAAGGGATGGGTAATGAGAAGAAACACAGTAACTAATTAGTGCGATAAGTTAAGTGAAGAATATAAAGAATAAACTACATAAAAAGTTATAAATTAAGGAAATAAAATGATATATTTTTGAAAAACGACAAATATTTCTGATAGGAAAGAAACTGATTCATTCTCCTTCTTTTTCTTTCTTTCTTAAGTATGCGAAAAATTAATATATTTGTGAATTACTGCCATCAATATTACCGCGATTTTTACTATCAACATAGGTATATTGAGCGAACAACTTTGAGATTACTGTTACCTAAAACTAGACAACAGTTAGAGAAAAGAATAAATCAAATTTTTTACTTTCAAATTTATGGTCTTAGTTGCTTTTTGTTGTCGTCAAAAGTCATTTCTCTCAGGCAAATATTAAAAATTCACTGATATAAACAAGATGTAAAAAGCAGTTTCGAAGAACTATAGAATTGCATTGGTTACAAAAAAAAGATAGCAAAAGTAAGAGAACAAATGCAAATTCTTTTTTATTAATCAAAAAATAAAGCGAATAAGCGGGATATACCTTGTCTGTTTGGAGTGTCACAATACGTTTCTGTGTTGGTGTACCAATTTCCACACATAAGAATGAACCTTGTGAAGTGGTGTATTTCTTGGTGGTTAAAATCTGTAGAAAAAAAATCTTTTCTCAAAATAAGTTGCCATTGTCATTTATGATTTTAATGGTATTGTTTAAAGAAATGGCTACAATAATTTGTAGACAAATGGTAGGTTGCTAATGTTATTTACATGAAACTTTATTGGTAACTGATAATTATTGGTTAAATTAATCGACAACATTGGTAACGACAAAGAGGCATTATAATTTTCGGTGGAAAAAATGTTTATTTTGAACTTCTGAAATACAGAATATTCTCATAATTTATCTATGCCATAATCTTAAGTTACTATCAAATTCAAAAAGTTACCTAATTGTCACTCAGTTATTGGTATTTCAGTTTCATTAATATTGCTTATTGTAACACATAACTTAAACGATACCGTTTACATGAACTATTTGAACTGTTGAGCCAATGTTGTAAAATATGCAAATTTCACTGCAATCATTTTTTATCACAATAACTCTTAGTCGATACTTGTAACTGTTACCTCATCTAATGATATATCTGGAACTTGCTGAACTGTAACATTTAAAAATTTGACCCCACATCTGTTGATTACGAGTAAACAATTTCCGGTATGCAATTCACCATCGACAGCATCAAATAGGCTGATAAACTGACCACCGAACAAAGGCGTGTTCTCCAGTAATTCTGATCGAGCATGTTACGTTAATTTTTCAACAGTAAGCATGCAAAGTTGTATGCAGAAATACACAAAGTCGTTAAACAGTTAAAAATGATAACTTAAAGATTGTGCTGCATCTCATTTTACTGTAGTTAAATATCCCAGATTCTGTGCTTCCAAAAAAAGAAAAAAAAAAACAGAAGAAAGCCAAGATACAAACTTTTGTTGCGTCAATTAGTTACTGACCACGTAAAAATTTACCTAAGAATTTAGCCTTAGCTGTAATTGCAGAGATTTGTCGGTCGATGAAGCCTAATTTTAAGTTTATTTCCTCCATCCAATGTTCAGCATACATAAGGTCAAAAATTGATCTTGGAACTAAATGATGCACATCATCCCTAAAATAAAGTTTTGTACAATATCCTACGTATTTTTTAAACATCAAAATGAAATTGATATGCAGTAAAAACTAGATTTATATAAGGTTATAAAAGTTACTGTAAAAACAGCGTTAACAAGTTGAAAATGAAAAATTAAGCCTACTGCTCTACAGCAACAATAGATCCTAAGTCAGATATTTGAAGATAGGCACCAAGATTCGCAATGTCATCCTACAAATATTTGTTGCTTTTTAGTGGTAGCATACAAAGTAAAAGTTAAGTATTGAGCTCCAAATGGTGAATAAAACAAATGCTGAGAAAAAAATTTACTAGAAGCGATTGGTCAATATCACTAGGCTCCACACCTGTTAGGTAAAATTCCATGTAATCTGCTGTAATCTACAATGGTTCTTTATAGACCATCTGTTTCGAACGTTTCAGTTTAAAAAAAGCGCAAACTTTAACTGCAGATACTCAATCAAATAGAAAATTTAATCAATCAAAAACTATCGCCTACGGTAAGTGATAAAGTTATTTACTTGAAAATACATAAATTCAATAAACAGGCGGTTCTCAAATCGGAGTGGATGTATCCAAACTGTTCTTCTCAGCAGGAAATAGTATTCTCGATTACTCGTTTCCAGTTCGGTACAAATATCAAGAATATATTCATCATATGAAATCATTTTCACCAAATCTTCTAAACTTATTATACGTATGTCCGGGCTTAAGCATTACAAAATGTTTGGTCTACTAACCATTAGACAGAACAATGCATAAACAAAATTCTCGTTGTTCTGCAACACTAACTACGCCTAATTCCTGACACATCTCCTGTATAATTTCTTCAGAAACTGTGACGGTATCGGTTTTAATCACTTGGTTACGATCACCAGGCAGACGGTACATAATTTGTCGTGAAATTCTACCACTCTACAAAAGTTACTGAGTGCTTTTGAGTTACTTTTTTTAATAACGCATAACTTAACACCATTAAATCTTGATAACAACTTTAAAAAAGTTGAAACTTTTTGTTGTAATTGATTATAAAAGATGAAAATCTTAATGTAATCGTTAACGTACAGTAATTGCTTCAATTTCTGTTCCACTTGGCAAAAATTTTCGTCCGCCATATCTGAATGTTTTATTTAAATTCGTAAGGCATATCGATGCAATACCTGAACAAAAACAAAGACAAATAACAATCTGTATTTAAAAAATTTATTGTTTCAGCCAAAAAAAATAGACAGACACGTATTTCAATATAACGAAAAATATTCATTCTAGGTCTATAAATATACAAAAGTTTTTTGAAGCGTTGTAAAAATTTAAAAGTTTTAATCCACAATATCTATCATGACAAAATTTTTGTTAAACAATTAATCAGAAAAGCGAGTTTGTTTGTAAAAATAACTTACAATGAAATGACTTTTTCGGGTCATCAGCAGTGTCGGCAATAAATTTAAACAAATAAGGTTTGAATACTATGGAGCAGTCAAAGTAAGCACAAAGTATTGAAAGCAGTCGCCAACCCCGAGATGCGCTATTTGTCCTGCAATATCACATATTTCGCCGTTCCAGCCAAACCCCAATAAGTGCAAATTGCTGAAAGATTCATTTAAGAAAGCTATATTTGAAATTTTTGCACCTGGAACTTCTGTTGTTGGTGACTTGTTTAACAATCTGACAATACACTTCATCACACATCTGTACACTCTGTTCGCATACACTTAGCAATTCGTAAACGCAGTCGACCAACGTCTGACCGTGCTCCAGACTCTCATCATCCATGTATCGCATAATATCTACAACCGCCGAGAATAAAACAGTTTGTTTTTTTTTAAATGGTTTTTCGATAACCCAAAAGCAGTCGAGATTTTGAAACAACGAATCCAAGACAAACACTGAATGATTTGCAGCGAAAAATTTTTTTTCAGCAAAGATTGTGGTAAATTTGAGAAAGGTTATAAAATTACATCGAAATGATTCAACTGCGATTTTATTCACATCATCTCCCTCCATTTTCAATAGAGACTGTGATATTGGTTGATCTGTATAATTCACTTTTTCATTCCAATAATTTGTTGTACTGTCTTTTTCTGCAAAGTTTCTCAACGTCACGAAAATTTTAGTGATTAAAACATCTTTTGCGGTGCTATGAAAAGCACAGAAAAAATTGTTGAAATAATACAGTCGCACAAAAAATACAGTAGATAAAATAACTAATCCAAAAAAAATTATTTTTCAGACATTATAAAACTCCTTCTAGCTGTAGTCTAACGTAACTCTGTAATACCTGAACAATTTCAGAATCTCGAAATACCTTTGTTTGAATGTTCTGGTCCACGAAAATACAATGTTGCAAATGTGGTCATTGAGAATATAAGGTTATCTTCCGGAAATTTATGTTTTTCAACGCCATTATGATCTTTAGATTGCTGTAAAAGTGTTGGCAACCTTTAAACTTAATACTATTAGTTCCACTTATTAAATCACGTATTTATTTAAAAAAACAACGAAACTAGGTATTACAGAAAAGCTAGGTGACTTTTCCTTGTTTTCGACATAAGAATACCAGTAACAGGAAAAAGTGCAGAAAAAAAATGAACTTGTAGGTTACAGTTTTTCATTGTACTTATGCTTATAACGCTATTTGTCGCTGATCTACCAAGCTTAGAAAATTTAGCAGCCCCTATTTCGCTACAGGCTTAGGCCTCTATTGCAAATAAAGTGGTACTACAGAGTTTTTGAAAAGATTATTTAAAAAACTTGTAACATTTTTTACTATTATCACTTTATAGCACCACTGTCGACTAGAGAGAACAAAAGACTGGAAAAAAGAAAAAATGTTTGGTCTTAGGTTTCTGTAACAATTATATATTGTTTTGAACAGTTCTTAAAATAATTGCAAACGTCTTTATTAGATCAGAACGTTTTAGCATTATTTGGGGAGAAAAAGAC